TAATAATAATTAACTAAGTGGCAGTACACAACAGCTCTCTGTCTTCCAAAGCTTGACGATCACAAGCAGAAGAGACAAAGACGAACATGCAATTGCAGAGAATATATAGTACCTCTGTTTACCTGTTACCTGTCCTGTCCAGGTAACAGCGATTGTCCAGCGAGAACAATCAAAAGGAAGCAGCCATCAGTCTGTTGAGCTATAGGGTGTAAATATTCCTAAAGCACCACTGATGATATAATATATAGTCTACAGTTATGGCTCTTACAGATATCCATAACACCCAGGTACAGCCATGGCCTTTACAGGGTTTCTTGGGCTGTTTTACTGTAGAATGCAAGTTCAGCTGCTCTCAAGATGATGGGTTTTCATTCCAGACAACAACAAAATAAATGAAGACTGAACTATCATAAATGTCTCTTTTGGTGGCTTCAGAAATGAATTGAGCTTGGAGCCACGTTTCTTCCTCTTGGCTGAAACGGAGTTACACATAAAACCAAAATCAAAATAGCACCTTTCAGACCTTCCTAATTCTCACAGGAAAACCAGCCTGAGCGTGATGTCACCCGCCCTCTCATGATTTATTTGGGGTCACGGACAGACTTTGGAAGACCCCAGAACCACCCCCCAGCACCCAGTGGAGTAATTCAATAGGACAGTCTACCTGCTAAAACAGCCACTAAAGGAAGGTGTTTCTAAAAGGAATTGGGAAATTCAGACTAGGAGAAGCTTGGAAACAGAACCACCCCCCTCACTGGTTCACCCACTTGCAGAATGGGGTGTGTGTGTTAGGGTGGGGGGTAGCAGGTGGTACCCAGAGTGTCAGCCTTCTCCTTTCACCATGGGAGAGGAATCACAGGCCCTAGCTGTGTTATTGCAGAGACCAGCCCTGCAGCACCTTCCAAGCTGACAAGGGAAGGGGTTAAAATCAGGCAGCAATTATTAAGACAAATCTGCAGAGGCGCTGTTTGAACTCTCTGTCCAGAAGATAATCACATTTCGCAGGGTTCTGGCTCAGGAACGTGTGAGCTGCCTCTCTGGATTGATAACCTGTCAGACAGGAGAAGGAGCACTGAGCTGCTGCCTCAGGCCTTGGGCACTGTATCTTACTCCCAGACATTTTCTCTCCCTCTCTGCCTCTGTCTCTTCTGTTGTTTCTTACCTCCCTCGTCTTTCTCTCCTCTCCTTTTCATTTCACTCTCTCCTCCTCCCAGGCTGGTCGAAATAAATCAATCTTCGTTCTGCCTCTGCTGAAGACACCCCCTTATCAGGAGCAACAACAACAACACGGGCGCTAATATTATGAGAAACACACAGGGCGTATGAATCACTTCAGAAACGATGCCAAGAATAAGTCTGATTTTTTTTTTTAAACAAAGAAAAAAAACACCATTTCGGCTCTTCCCCGTGTGTGTGTGTATGCATGCGTGAAATCATCATTCGATGTTCCTGTTATCATCTGCTTTCCTTGCACCTTCCGAGATACAATTAACTTCGGGTGTGTGTGCACGCGTGTGTGTGTGTGTGTGTGTGTGCGTGTGTGAGCGCGGGTGTGTAGTCCTGCCTACAGTGTGTAGAGATGAAAGAATATTCCCATGACCCTCTGAGGCTCGAACCTGTGTGCTGCACTCTGACAGGACTGCCCCAGTACAGACAAGCCTGCCATGTTATGCAATTTGGATGATAAGAGCATTTTTAATAAAGTACTGCCCCTTGAAAGCACTGGGACAGCAAGCTCAAAACTTGCATTACACCCAAGAGATTGTATTTGCGATCACGGGACTAAAGTGAATGATTAATTACATAAATTAGATAAAAGACCAGAACAAATATTTTATTTATGTTAAACTCCATGCATACTTTTGATCACATTAGAACAAAAAACGTACTTTGTGTTCGTCCCAGTGATTTCAAGTGACCTCACATTTTAGGACACTTTCACCTTAAGTAAATTTCCAAGAGTAAAAGTCAGTATTTTGTTGCATATTCCTTTGAGGCAATAACTGCGGGAATTCTGAAACTTGAGCTCACCCAATTCTTTGTGAAATTGCTTTGCGTTTGTGCCTGTTCTTAGGGTGTTCTGCCTACAATGACTTCTTCAGCAAGTAAAACTCTGCACGATTGCATTTAAACCTGGAGACTGGCTTGGCCAGTCGAAGATTCTCAGTTTTTTTCCTCTTTGTGAACACTTAGTTTGCTTTGGCCATAGGTTTCAGGTCATGTCGCGCTGCATGAAATTAAATAAATATGTAAGCAAATACATTCTGCTGCTGCCATTATTAGTTACATCACCAATAGAGACGAGGGAGCCGGTTCCAGAGATGTTAAAACAAGCATCAGATTCTTAGTCCTGCACTGTTAAGACATCAACTTTTAATATAATCCTTCCTTTTCCTGTTCCAGACAGACAGCACGCATTTGTATTCCAGAGCAGAAAAGAAGAGGTTTTGACTGAGGTAAAAATATACTGAGATATATCTGTGGAATAAATGTGCTCCTTACATCTATACTGTTACTTTCATCGGATTTCTCATGTGTAGGACTTACAGCCATTTTATACCGTACAGCAGTGGTTTGAACAGCTGTCTGTGAGACCCTTTTTTGCCTTTGAAAATGCTGTGTGGATGGACTCTGTACTCATAAACAGGAGAGGTACACACAGCAGACAAAGACAGTGCAGTGCACGTCGATCTTATTGTCTCTCTGCCATTTGCACGCTGCAACCAAACACCAGGAGTGGCCCTGAGAGGAGAACAAAGCGCAGGCCGCTGTCATCATGAAAAGCCCGGAAAGCAACTCCAGCTCTGGGTGACGACGTTGCAGCAACATTTAGTCTGCAGAGAATGATGCAACAATTTCATAGCCAGTCACAGTGGGCATCATCTTACCCGTCATTTACTCCCCTTTCACCGATTAATGATTTATTTCTCGATATCACAAACTAAAAAAAGAAGACTATCAACAAAACCAATCATATTGGCAGCGAATCTTTGCACTCATACAATTGCACAGAACACATTCATCCTCAGGCCGTTTTTACTTGCCCTGCATTGTTAGAGGGAAGTGATTAGCTGACGTTCAGGAGGGACAACAGTGACAAGTCAATCACAGCCAGCTGTTCCTAATCCCTATCCTATATGATGTCGAACACAAGCGCCTCCCCTCGAATGTGTGTCAGCCCATCTCCACCCTGCAGCTGCCCCCTTGGGCTCCCTCCACTCTGAATGGCTTTCGAAGCTACTCGTCCCGCGGCCAGGAGGTCTGCCCATTTACACAGAGGGTTCAGCCAAAGCTGCCTCCCCAAGCGCTCCTAACATTCCCACTGCATGCGGTTCCCTAGTGAGCTCGTGCTCGCATGCAAGCATATTCACCAGCGCTAGGGCACGTCGCAAGCCAGTTATGGCACAACCAGGACCAAAGAGCAGTGATACCAAAATCGACTTCTTTGGTAATCCCACAAATGAACCTCAAGCCAGTTTTGACCTGAATGGGCCTCATCAGTCCAGTCCCCCAGGCCAAGGCCTGTATACTACAGAACCCTGATTTGCTTGCAGGAGGTCTCCTTTGTGGCCATTAAGCTATTCAGTCCAGTGATGGCCCTGTAGCATCTTGCACTGCAGGTCACCACCCTGTGTTTCTCAGAGGCCAGGGCTCGGTCAGTCTGTGTTGGGAGGCCTGAAGGGAAACCAGGGTGTGGTTGTACGTGATGCTGGTGGACCAGTAGGTGGCCCTATTCCTTTCTAACCTGAATTTTTGGACCATGGACCCAGTGTCCAGGGACACTGTGTGGTAGGAGGCACTACAGATGTTAGAATGAGGTCCTGCCTCCTTGTGGTCGGAGTAGGGGTGTTAAACCCTGAGACCTGTGAGTGGGGCCTCCCAAAATGTCTCCCTTATCTAGTTTAGAGAAGCGACTTCTCGGTCCTCCTGTGCTGTTGCGTGGGCGTTGTTGAATTAATTGGGGACTGCTCCTATACGTAAAGCCATTTTGAGATCCTTTGGGATGTGCTATAGACATGCAGAAAATTGATTTTTTTTTTTTTACCGCTTTTGCAATTAACTAATCAATCGCCACTCTGATCTGTCCTCTCAGGTGATGATGATGTCACAGGCTTAATGGCCTAATATCATTTTCTTGTAGTATTCCTCTGGACATGCTACATTGTTTTACTGTTGTGGTACATTGAATGGCCTCTACCTTTATTACAGAGTGTGTCTCATACGTAGCGCAGATCATAAAAGGACTGACAGCACCTCGTGGATGGTATGTCCGCTGTTTTGGAATATTTCCACATGTAGATAAATGACACACATGAAAAGGGCTTGTATGTTTGTTTTCTCTGAGAATTCCAAAGGCCTCATTAATCTCCATTCTCATAATTGGCCTATAGCTCCTCAGTGTTGCCTTTCTTATGTTCGAGCAAGAGGATTTTAGAGGCCAAATGGCCTTGAATGAAAGTGGGTATTTAATTTGATGAGCTCTAACATGCATGCAGATTCGCTCTCAGGCTTGCATCCAGCACAAGTGGGTCGTTCGGAGCGTGTGTAATAAACAGCTGTCATGACCTCTGACCTCCCAGCTCCCTCGTGTCTAATCAATGGTAGCCATCTCAGGGAACGCGTGGAAAAGCTCTTCTTCCTGCCATTGCCTCGTTTATGGTACAAATCAGCAGAAAGGCATTATCCTCCCTTGATTGGGCAAATGTCTCTTGGTACAGCTAAATACGCCACTCTTTTTGGGCCAGGGAAAAGACTTTTAAAGTAGTCTGACCCGTGTCAAAGCTCAACGACAACAATTAGGGAAAACAAGGACTTCTGCAATGCTGCTGGATGCCCCTTCATTTCTGCTGCTGTGAAACCCTTTGCTTTCACTGCAGAATTTGCCAGTTCCTCGATGACTGCAGTGAGGCACTCTGACTGAGGCTGCAAAAATTCCCCTCCTAACGGAAGATGATGCAGCAGGCATTGAAGAAAGGATTATTAAAGAAGTCTGTAAGGAATTCACTTAATTAAGTTTAATTTTTAATACTTTACAAACAGTACAACCTGAGATCCAGTTGAACATAGTTTTGTCATCACCCTGTAATAACATTTGGAACGAAATGTACAAAAAAATCTCTTTATGGTCCAAATCTGGAAGAACTGCTGTCTTGTTATTTGAACAAGCCGTGTGAGGTTACTCTGCAAGTGCATTGTATGTCTACTGCTCTAGGAAAAAAAGTTCTAACTTTTTAAACTTCTTTTTTTAAATATATATGTATATATTTTTCCAACAGGTAGGCTTTGTATCACAGAAATGGTGCAAAAATAATTAAGCTTTACGGATCCTAGGAAAAAAGTGTTAGGTTTTTTCAGAGTTTATTTATAATACCAACAGACTTTGGTAATTTAGCAAATATCAGCATTAAAAATGCATTCTTAACAAGGTCTTGTTGAGCTCAAAACAAATAAATAGTACAACATTGCTGATTTACAGCCTAGTTAAAAAATCAAAACCAAAATACTAGCTTTAATTTCAGAATTAAATGACATACAAGTAAAAGATAACATGTTTCACTACTTTACATTGGGAAATTCTTCTTTTTAAATAAAGCTTTTCAGTTTTTGAAGTACCTTCAGGCACACGTTGTAGATAAATAAATAGGAGGGCTTCCATCTTCACATGCACAACTGGTTTGTTTTGGACAAGTTGCCCCTTATATACACTCAGTCATTGCTGTGTTACCTCCAGACCCCATATCTCTTTTACTCAAAACCATACACTGTAAGGGCTACAAATGAACAAGATGACCTACGTGTGTGTGCACTGAACATTGTGTGAAGCAAAACAGAAGAAACAATCGTGAAAGTCCAGACATCACATTTACATCTCAAAGTCTGACAAGGTTTTTTTCCTTTTTTTTCTAGTTTAATGTTCACAAGTTAATGGTGGGAGTCATGCTATTAGGGAAACGTGTCCAATTCCCAGCCTTCAGATGCAGTACTTGGTCAAATGACATGTTTAAAAATCGATTTATGTATATTATGTTAACAAGTTGGGGGGGGGGCTATTTTCATAAAGTCATGTACAAATATCCTACAGATATTAGGTCTATAAAACAGTTGGTTTTTTTTCTCTGAAAGCTGCTTAAGTCTTGACATCTCCACGTCTTTGCTGTCGAGAAGAAACAGAGACGTCCATTTTTCTCCACGCAATTCGCCGTCTTTTCTCAGCGTTTTGGCAAAGAGCCGGGGAGGAGAGAAACAGTAAAACCGTTCACTGTTGGCTGTTTCTGTGTGCGCGCATCGGCCGTTGTTTTGTTTTGTGTTTTTTGTTTTTTTGATTTTACGTTTTCTCGACCTCGAGAAACCGCAGGGTTGTGTTCACAGCTGTACTGGAGGGGCGAAGATGGCGCCTGTCTCGTCGTCCGCGGCCCCGCCTTTCACGAGGCGAAGTACGAGCTCTGCATGGAGTAGAGCCGGTCGATGGGGTTTCCCACCCGGGCCTGCAGGGAGCCGACCTCCGAGGAGGGCAGGAAGCAGTCGCTGAGGCTAGTTAGGGACGTGTCGCTGTCTATGTCGTGGAAAATGGAGTCGTTTCCTGTGACAGTAAAATGAGTGGGAAGAAAAAAAACTATTTCAGTGACGGACGGCAAAAAAATAAAAATAAAATCGCCGCTCCTATCGAAGGAACGGTCTGATGAAACTGAGAAAAACTGAGATTTCGTCGCTGAAGGGAGCAATTACACCCCACCCCCCCCACACACACCTTCAGTTTTAAGCTCCTAATCAAACTTCCGGCGCTTTTATAGTTCTCGTTGGAAACGGGGGGGAAAAATAAATCCTTTTCATAGAATAAAACAGAACTTTTTTTGTGTGTGCTAATGAAAAACAACGTCCGAAAAACATTGATTGTTTCTGACGGTACAATTCACGACAGCGCCTCCTTCGAGTGTCTCTATACGGACTCGAGTGGGTTTAACGTTCTAATTTTTAGAAAAGCACCAACATATGAAATAAAATCTCACTAAGCAAGCCTCCCGTGAGCAGCATATGGGTCTTCAGGTGTCTTAGACTCCGGTGAGATAGGAGAGGAAATGTGAAACAATGCCCAGAGGTTCCCAGAAAGCAGTTAATTGCCATTGTTTGCCTCTTAAAAACTTTAATTTCGGAATTTTCTTGCGGGAGAGATGGTTGTTTTATTAGGTGCTTCAGGTCTAAATGACACCCTTACATCAGTACGGGGGACAGTTTGATGGCGCATTCATTTTTAATGAGTTGACAATGTTATTTGTTACTCTTTGCAGACCATAAAATTAGAAAAAAATCAGAGATGTGATAAGGGATTTGGGTTTTACAACAGGAAAAAAAACAGCTTTTATAAATTAAAGGAGACAGTGGTAATGCTGTTGACTGAGCTGGGAAACAAAGCGTTTGCAGAATTGACAAATACAGCTTCACTGTTCTTGGTTTTGGGAAAAAAAAAACACCTTCAGTTCTACCTTAGGCAAAGCATTTATAACAGGATTAGACTCACAAATTGCCTGCCTTGATTTACTGGAAAAGCTTGTGCTGCTAAATTATTTACAGTTTTGAGGTCTCCTGCAAAATAACCTGTATCTAAAGACCTGGTCCCCAAATGTTATCTTCAGGCATCAGTGTGAATTATAAGGTATTTTAGCTGAAATAAGAAGATTTCTTACCTCTGAGTGGCTCTGTAAATAACACAGCCCGAATATATCATTTTATAGTAATGATTATAATAAATATAACAATAATAATAATCATTGGCACACATTTTAACAGTATCCTTGGTGCAATCTGACCTGGGTTTATTGGGTATCTTTTGTATTTCAAAGAATGTATTACCGTTTCAGATCCCACATGAAACGCTTCGTCACAATACAGGATCAAAACGAGTGACTCCATTTTAGGCAGGGCTTCATGCAGCCGAGGAATCCAACAGCCCTACGGCTGCGAAGCTGCTCTTCATTCACGGAGACAGCCGAGGGTCGGCCATCAGCTGCAGTAAATTTGCTCGGCTCCTACCTTTTAAATACTGAGCCTTATCAAAGGGAATACGAGTATTGGGGTTGACCAGTTTCCCTCTGCCTCAGTTCTCGCCTTGCACCTCTGTGGTGCCGCAGTCTTACCCGAGTGCGGTGGAGACCGGGAGCCGCCCGGCAGTCCGGGAGAGGCCGAGCGGGAAGCTCGGGACATGCCGGTTAGATTGAAGGCACAGTTCGGAGACCCGGACAACGGGCCGCCTGCTCGTTAGCCGTTAGGGAGGGGAGGGGGTGGGGGCTACGCCGTCGAGGCCGTGACCGCGGTCCGACCGCCGCCGCTCGCGGGCGTGGGGGTGTCCCCGGAGGGGGGGGTGCTCACCGTACGGATTCATGTGGTCCCCGGGCATCTGCGGAGGGGTGAGGCCCTGCTGGAAGGGGTCCGTGCTGTAGCCGTTCTGGTCCATGGCCACGAGCTGCTGCTGGGGTGGGGCCAGGGGCGCGTACGAGCTCATCATCCCCTCCATCCGATTGGACATCACCTCTGCAACGGCAGCCGGGGGGGGGCGTCAGCCGGGGGGCACAGGGGGCCGCCACAGCCACAGCCACGTCCCGGAGCCGAGCGGCCTGGCCGGCGAGCCCCTGCTCACGGCTCATTATAACCTTCTTATCATTCAGATTAAGTCTTATCTGCTTTAAGGTAATTACAGCATTAGCGGCATCCCACATCCAAGATAAATTCATTATCTGGACGCGGCCTCATTTCCTGCCGTGTTTTCCCAGTGGTGGTATAAAGTGCAACAGGGCCACTGTGCAGATAACGTTTATGGCACGAATGAAGAGTTCGGCACACTGCGGTTTTATTGCACCGGTTGCCGATACTGCACTTTTAACTGCCGCGTGAAATGCGAGGGCCTTGGGCCGATGATGCAGGGGGCTAAAATAAACGTTGGCAAAAGAACCTGGAAAGTGATATCAAGAGGAGCGGCAGCAGACTAATCGTGCGCGTGACTCATCCAGAGCCCACTCGGCCCCTCGGTGATCCCACTCTGGGCTGAAGCCCCAGCGGAGGCTCACACTTGCGTTAATAAAGCTGTGATTGAAGTGCCGATCGGCAGGCTCTAGGCTGACAGACAGTATTCCTTATTGCCGGGGACAGGGCGGTCCTGACAGGGCGTCTCAGACAGCTCGAGGGAAGTGTCACCTCCGAGCGCAGGCCGACCCCCAACCCCCCCCCTCCCCCACGAGCGCGACCCCGCAACCTGTCACTCTAGCCCTGCCTCACTCCCCGGCTCCCCTCGGCCCGGAGCGCCCGGAATCTGCTCCACGGAATGCGAGGGAGAGGAGGGACCTGGGGTGGAGGAGGCCATGAGCCAGCCCGCAGCGCACGCGGAGACACAGGCACCCCCCAGGCAGCGGGCACAACTCCACTCACACGCCACGGTCTGGCTGGTAGTGCCCCCCAGCCCCGACGCCTGCTGTACCCACACCTCCTACAGTCAGAAAAGAGACGCACTGAGCAGTGAGAGCAGCTCTGAAGAACCGCGCTCCTGTGACGCTCAGGCTCAGTTTGAACGAAGGCCGGGCCGGAGCTGGGTCACAGGCGGGGGCAGTGCTCACGACGTGCCTCCCCCGGCTCCTGAACCCGAGTCCCCCTGCCGTCCGGCGCCCCAGGGTTACCTTGGCCCAGCCTCTGCGAGTTCTGCTGCTCCTGCTGCTGCTGCTGTCTCCGTGCCAGCTTCTTCATCTGGAAGAAAGAGAGGTTTGCGAGTAGAAAACAATCCGGGATCAAGTGCAAACACAAGGCCACAGCCTCCCTACGTTTAACAAGATCTCTGTTTTCCACTCTCCCCCTCCCCCAGCCAGAAAAGACACTCAATCCTGCTACAACTCGGAACTCAAATTCTTCTGAAGATACCATCGGAACAGGAGGTGGACGCAGCCGTTAGCTCAGCTCTCCAGGAGAAGTGTACGTAAGGCTGTTCTGTGCCACGCTGCAGGAAATGAGGCGGGCGGTCTCTCCTCTCACCTTTGCTCTCTGGTTCTGGAACCACACCTGGACCACTCGAACACTGAGACCCGTTTCTGCAGCCAGGGTTTCTCGGACCTGTTCAGGAGAACATTTTTCGACATCGTTAACTGGGCGGTAAGGGGAACCGAACGCATGGGCAGAGTAAATCCAGACGCTTCGAAAACGAGCCAGTTGAACACGGAAGTGCAGACAGGCGGCCCCACAGCCCTGATAGCCCTACTCCAGGAAACCCACAGCCCTGAGCTCTGCGCCGTTAGTCACTGGAAATGCTGTGGGCCCCAGAGAGCACCCATCACCCCCTCCGTCTGCAGCCAAAGACCCACAACCCACTTCAAAGCACCCTGACGTCATGGAGGAATTAAAAATAGTTTTGTTTTTTTTACGAGGATTACACTGTGCTCCTCGTGACCGTTCCCACTCCAGGCGTGTGGAATTTTACTGTCCCGCAGTAACGTCTCCACGGCGGGACGTCCTGGGGAGCCCCAGCAGCACGGGGCGAGCCTGCCCTCGAGGGAGACCAGGGAAGGGGTCACAGGCCCCTCACTGGGACATCCGCACCCCAGAACCCAGGCATGCGCCCCTCTTGGCAGAGTGTGGTTACCCCAGCCGGATGGGGGACTGGATGGGGGACTGGCAGGGCCCCGAATTCCTCACCTTCCGGCAGGGCTTGGACGACACCTCGAACGAGGCCTTGAAGGCCCGGCGCTGCTGCGTGGTCAGGATCGTCCGGGGCCGCTTCGGCCTGCGCGGGTCCTTGGCGTCGTCGCCGCCCTTGCCCGCGGACCCGGGCCCTTTGCTCGGCTTCACGTCCACGTCCTCGTCGTCGCTCTTCGCTGCAGGGAGAGCGGGGGCGTGTCGTTACAGAAGTGCACGGGGAAACGGGCGGGAAGCCATACATCCTGATGATATAGTGTGAGACCCCCAGACCCTGCACCCCGTGACAGCGCATTTGTCAGAGAAGACGTCCCGGCATGTGGTTTTAATCGGTGGGTGTCCATTTTTCAACGGGGCGGGCAGGGCGCGCCGCGCTCCTGCCGTGAACGCCTGAGCGTCGCGCTGCCCGGGTCTGCGAGTGGGCTGCGCGGTTTCTGAAGCTGGTTCTCATTACGGGACAGATCTGTCACTGACAGCCGATCGCGCTTTAACAAGAATCGTCTCCCCGCTCGCTCGGGCGGCGGGGGCGAGTGAAATGGGCCGACTGTGAAGATTTGAGCCTGGTGCAGCGTCGCTGCCGTGCCCTGCGCTCAGACTGCTCCAGCTGAACACGTGGGGGGCAAATGTAATCATCCGAAAGCTCGGGGGGGGGGGGGACCCAACCAGAAACCCCGCAAATCTGCACAGCACAGCACTGCAGGCTCCAAAACAGACATGCAAAGAAAAAGCACACCGCTAAGTTCAAGATAAAAACTGACAGGTCTTGGAATTAATGACAACAATCGGCACATCTTCCTGCTTGTAACCCGTGTTAGGTGCACTGATAACAGCGGGTTTGACATGGATGCACCTCAGCTCACGTTGCAGGCAGGCGAACTCGCACACCACCCTGTCGCTGGCCGTGAAGGAGGGGAAGGGATTTTCAGACTCTTAACCGCTGGGAGCTGACAAGCCTGAGAACGTTCCCAATGTTTTCGTTTTATTAAGAAGATCTTGCTGCGCGATCATCTTTCAGTCTAATAAGCACCTTTTTATAATGATCAAAGAGCATCTCTGTGACTTAAATAACACCCCACCACCGTTACCTTTTTAATGCGCCATCGCAGCTAAACGGTTTACTGAGCTTAATAATTATTACGACCCTGCTGAGAGTTCCTTTTATTTACCTGTGGACGAAAATTTCATTACGTAAGAAAGAGCTAACAATTTGCTAAACGTAATAATAATAAAGTCATAATTGTGCACAGTGAAAACAATAAGTATAAAGGGGAAATAACCTGTCCCCAGAGCATTAATTACACCGTCTTTAATGGAGAGCCTCCCCCTCCATTTGCGCGTCAGAGGTGTGCCCGCATGTCGCTCAGAATAACATCCAAGAACATTAAAATACTTCTAAACAACACAGAAGTTTTTGGATCTCTTACATGCGGCTTTTTTGGAATCTCTTCAACTCTGAGAACTGCTAATAGAGAAATATTTACACTTGTAAACATTAACCGACTGGTTTTGCAAGTCACAAAATAGACCTAAAGGCGACATCTAAGATCCGAATTGAGCCTCGTCATTCTCACGTTTAAAAAGACCTGAAATAATATTTTATATATCGAAATAAAGTGATTTGGTTATTGTTATCGGGATTTTAAAAATATAATCTTAAATTTAAGCAATCTTTGCAGGTCTTTCTGAGTTGTAAAAGTGGACATTTTTCCCGCTTTGCCTGAGTATTTAGAAGTCTGAGCGCGACCTGGGGGTGTGTGAATGTTGTCTGTTCCTGATATGCGCGCACAAACAGCCCAGTTCACTGTTTTCTAAGGCTCTCGGTTGTTTTGGGGGGGATTCCTGGGTTACCTCTAGTACATCTACGCTACACCCATTTATTTGACAACAACAACAACAACAACAACAAAAAACTCAGCTTTCGTTGGAATAATGAAAGTGGGGGAATAAAACTAAAATCCACAAAAGCCATCACGGGCGTGCAGTGCACAGATGCATTTGACAAATTTCCCGATATTTGTCTCTTGTGAAAACTGGAACCAGATGCGGTCGAGCACAGGGGCTTGGCTACATGCCACGTTAAGTTAAAAAAAAACTCCCGAGACGCAGACAGCACTCCAAGCTGCGTTTTACACTGTGGGGAACTACCAGAAATCACTGAGCTCCAGCAGCTCTTCTCTTCCTCTCCCAGGAAAAGCTCTCCGGCTTTTCAGCCATGCAATGCGGTTTTTCTGCGTCGAGCTCCGACTTCCCTGCTTCCTCGGCCTGTAAAGATCTCAGTGCTGGCTGGCGCCCTTCACGCCACCAGCTGCTGCCTCTCGAGTGGTGAACCGCGCACCGGGGAGCGAGAAAGAAAATACAGACAGGACCCGGGCCCGCGCGCCCGCCTGGCGCGCCCCCGCGGCCCGCTCGGCCTCACCTGAGTCGGAGTCGTCGGGGCTGACGGAGCTCAGGAGGTCCTTCTCCTTCTCGTAGTCGCTCTTGCACAGCAGCTGCCCTTCCTTCAGCACGAACTCGTCGCCCCTGCGCAGCTGGCGGTCGCAGACGCAGCAGCAGAAGCAGTTGAGGTGGTAGACGGACTCCAGGGCGCGCATCACGAACTCCGTGGGGGCGATCTTCTCCATGCAGCCGCTGCACTTGGCGGCGAACAGCCTGTTCAAACACACACAGAGGCAGGACAGGCCTGAGGCGCGGGTCCTGGGGGCGGGTGGGCCGCACTGTCCCCGGGTGCCACTGCGCTCTGGCGCCTGTGAGCTCTTGACCGTTAGCAAACCGCCCGGGTCTACAAAACGGGCACAGGTATGAGCCACTTTGGGATAAAAGTCTCAGCCAAATGAATTAATAAGAGCCACGTTTTGCTCGAGGTGAGCCCCATCTCATCATTGGTGCTCCTGACAGGGCTGTATTTCAGAAGAAGAAGCCACCGACAGCTCACGAGGTGCTCACCCCCTCGTCAGGGCGCACTGTGCTAGCGAAATGGAAAACATTTCATTCTCTAACGCTGGCAGGTTTCGGGTTCTCGATCGGTGACATTCAATTCAATTCCGTTCTCTCCTTGTCTCGGGCACTTCTCTGCGTGTCGCGTTTGAGCGGCTCCTGGGCTACAGCAGAGCCCTCAGTGCAGGATTCCTGGCTGCTTCAGTTAAGCAAATTAGGCTTGTCCATCAAAGCTTGTTTTGATAGAGAGGGTTTGGGGATTTTTCATCTCGGCTGATTCTGTGGGAAGGCTCTGAGCCTCACCTTTTGACAGCAGTTCATCTGTAAAACTGCGACAGATAACCCGACAACGGTTCAGTAGAGCTCAATTGTCAGGAGCCTCTGGTACAGAGGCGAGGGCTTTTTTCTGAGAACAGCCTTTTAAGACGCTGTTAAGTGATCTGCGATGGTCGATTTGCATTTTAACAAAAACACCATGATGGGTGGCAAAAATCCTAAAACATAACATTTTCTTATCCAAGGCAATTAGTATCCTATTATCACGATCACAGGGAACGTTTTCTCCCGTCTCTCGTCTTTTTTTTTTTATTTGACGCCTGAAAAAATGAAAACAGAGCGGCTGAAGTCAGACCTGCTTAAAATGTGAAAACAAATTACGCAGAGCCTGCAGAGCAGGTTACGATTTAAGAGTAACCCAGAGACGGCAGAAAATGAAAAGAAAATGCCCAGAAGACAACTGACTGTACTGGGTCTCTTCGCACTACGATGACAACAGCGCTCGCAATAAAAGTCGTATTTCAAGAGAGACGCACCTGGGGTTATCGTCACCCTTAAAACTAAATTATGCGTTCCACACTACTACTGGCAGTCGGGCTTGTAAAAGGACTTTAAGGACTGTTTAAATTTTTATACAAAATCACTGGCTCTCGGAGGCCAACACATTTCACGGAAATCGCAAACTGTTAATGAGCCTCCCCCCCCCCCACACACAAAAACACACACGTTATGCGTTGTTGTTGTTGTTGTTTTTCTAATTGTCACTGTAAAACAATGAGCGAGATAAATCAGTCTTCGGAGTTAAAAAAAAAAGTCCACCGTCACGGTAGCCAACCCTCTCTGCCTTCGGTCCAAGTCTGTATTTTCCCACACAAGTAATCTGGGAGACCAGACGAGACACAGACTTTCCAGCGGTTCCAACAGCCCGGCGAAGACAGGGGCGTCATCGCCAGAGGAAGCGCTTATAAAGGTTTTATGTGTTAGGATCTCCCAGTGAAGTCGGGCTCTCCTGTCTAAGCCTTACGAACACAACCACCGATACACGACCCTGCTAAGGGTCCATACGGCCATCTGCTGTTTCAGATGCACAGCTGAGTTCTTGTCTACGGCCCAGCTCTCTTGCGAAGGCTTCAGACCTCGTCGGTCTGGGCGAATCGCAGCCCGCTGTTCGCACTGGCAAGACATCGCCTCGTCTGCCGCACCGCTGTCCCCCATCTCCCTCGCCAACGCAGGCAAACATATTCTAATCGTTGTAATTATAAGCCGTTAATTACGAGCTGAGAAATCTGGACGCTCAAGAAAGCCGTGCGAGGGGGAAAAAAACGGTTTCCGCGCATTAACTGTGGTGGAAGGGGCTCTGTTAATCGCTAACCGCACTTCTGCATTTCCAGCGAGGCGAAGGGTCCGACAGCAGAGCTCGTGGACACGCGCGATCCGGTCCAGTCAACAAGCAGAACGGGGAAAAAAAAAGATGCAAAAGATCAACAAACACTAACATTTCGCACTGCAAAAACTGAAACGGATGATTTCAGGTTTTTGTTTCTTATTGCGGAATGAAGTGTACGCCACAGCCGGACATTAAGGCCCCTCCAGAGCAGGGTGTCGGCGAAAGCGGTGTTTTAATTCTGCTTAACTAAACGTATAAACCTCTCATTTGCTCAAGAGTCTCTCAGTAATGCTAGGAGTATGAATGTCGCGAGTTATGGGGAATTCGACGTCGTGTAAAAACACCACAATTCTTTCGTTTCTACCCACACACACTGCGGGAGGCGGAGGGGTGAGGCTGGGAATTAAACCTCATTGACCCGCAGAGCTGCGGAGGGAGAACTTTTTAGGGTTCTAGGCCCTGCTGGGGCCCAAACCCCACGGGTTTAATCCTAGCTGCCAGGAATACAATCTCTTTCCGTGGGTTCACAGCCACGAGCCCCGAAGGGCCGCCGAGTGGAGGGCGAGCCGTCACCGCTGCACGTGACTGGACACGCCGGTCGAACCGAGCGGAACCGCCGGGTCGCTCTTCCCGGCGGTGCGCAAGAGCGGCTCAAACACGTTTTTCTATCAGCCGGCCTGTCAACTCGGAACTGTGGGAGAAGTCTGATTCGGGTCCCTTGTGACTTTGGGTTTAATGAATAAAGTTATTTAATGGGCTTCCCGTTGTTCTGGAATACATTCCGAACTGCAGTACGAGGGTGGGTCGCCAGACATCCCTATGGCTGCTTCTTAATTAATTAATTAATTAATTAATTAATTAATTAATAATAATAATAATAATAATAATAATAATAATAATAATAATAATAATAATAATTTCTTACACTTATATAGCGCTTTTCTGGACACTCCGCTCAAAGCGCTTAAGGACGATTAAGGACTCGATGAACTGCGCAGAGTGCCTTCGGCCTGTCTCCCGGCCCGTCTCCCGGCCCGCCCGGAGCCGCCGTCCCGAGGCCAAAATTCCACAACAGTAAGCAGAACCACAACAAAGCACCGCGAACACCGGTCCGCGGCGACTTTCTTCAAAGCTCGAGGCCCGGGTTTATGGCAATATTTTAAGAGGATTATTATTTTACTATGGGAACACCTAAGGAGTAATCCCTAAGCGCCTGTGGCATGTTTTGCAAACAAGCTTAGTGCCGAACTAAAGAAAGCACCTATTAATTAAGGACCTGTTGTTGGGGGAGATCTAGATATTTCATAATTAATATCCAAAGACGAGACGCGTAGAGAGGATTGGTCATTTTGCGGCCGCTGTGGCGCCGATTCTTGCGGGGCGATCTGGACGAACCCACGAAGAATGTGGACATTCTGAGTGGGGGAACTCGGGGCGGGAACTACTGACAGCGACGGCCGGGTGAAACGACGCGCGGCAGGTGGACAATAAGCGAAACGTTCGCATGTTGCCTGCAAACCGCTTTAATAAAGAACAGGAGGGACCGGGCGGCGCAGCTGCCGCCTTCAGGGTAGGAGTCGTGCGCGCCGGGCCTGCTCCAATCAGCGGCTGGTACGGCGTTTCCAGTAGGGGGTAGATTGCTGCGTTTCCCAAATAGATCATTGAAATTTATTAATATTACGGACAATATCTCCGAACAGCGAGAACACCGTCCTGTTATTGAAGGAAAACTATGTGGAGCGCCCCGTGGTGCGCACTGTATTACACACAGCAAATGTTGTCCATTAAACCAAGCCCCCCAACTCCTCTTCACAGTAATGACTTGCCGGTTTTAATAGCTCCCCGCGTTCAGGAATATCACCATCAGCGCTTCTCGTAACCGACACCTCTGGAAAGGCAATAATAGCAGAGTGATAACCCCGCCATCACAAAAAATAGAGGGAAAAAAAAACAGCAAAGCGCATCTCGTTTCCGACTCATTTCCTTCTGATCTGTCGGGCTTCGCCGTTCTTTGCTCTGCGAGCAGTTTTGAGGACTTTCCTGCACGTTTAAACGGTGTGCGAGGCTGGGGTCAGGGAGGGGAAAACTTCTCATTCGTGCCTCGACGACACTCGAAGCATCGCCGTGCGATTTTAATCACCCGGGAGCGCCTCCGAGACAGAACGACCTGCTGCTTAGCAAGCTTTCCGTTTAGACAAGGTGACATGTTTCGAGAATGAATGTGATAATCAAGGGGTTTCGGTTCTCCTGTCTGTTTTCGATATTATTCAAGATCTACATTAGCTGCGGTTTGCTTTTGATTCTTCATGACGTTTTCCCCGACAATTTGAGAGATTAAAAAAAAACATTCAAAAACGTGTTTTAATATGTTTGAGGGAACAAAAACGAGTATCCTCCAGATGTGTTTAACATAAACACAGCTGATATTTGTGCATGACATTGCATTTAAATAAAGACAAAAAAAAGTCCTTTGAATGAACCTTTTACATTATCCCAACAAGAGATGCTTCACGGAAACCCTGACCTTTGGAAGTACAACAAAAACACGAAGCTTCTGTGGGCTGTTGTACCTCGTGGAGAGGTTGCTATTATCCTAAAGGGAATGACACTTGCAGGAAAATGTTCCTGAAGTGTGCGACCCCCGCGGTCCCCCTAGGTGACGGGGATCAGAGGGGCTCCGGCGCGCGGCGCTCTGCCCGGCGCGCGGGGGGACCCCCGCCTCACGCGGACAGCCCGGTGATAGACCTGTTACGTCCAGCCCACGCGCAGAAACCAAATGTTGATTTAATGATAGGCACCCGAGTTTAAACACAGGCCGGATAACAGAAAGTCAAGAAAAGGAAAGCTCCCTTTAGCGTGCCCAACGTTTTCTCAGTTTCTCCATTCACCTACATAACTGAGCTCACTGGAATCTTCTCATCCAGATAAAACATTCTTTTTCCCCTCCAAATTCTTTTCTTTCTTTTTTTTCTTCCTCCGAGCTAATCTTGTAAGCCATTATTTTTCTATTTCCTCTCTCTGTCACTTTGCATTATTTTTGGTGCTATAATTC